AAAAAAAAAAAAAAAAAAAAAAAAAAAAAGCAGCGCTCAGCTCACGGAGGAGCCTGCCGGGCCGGCAGGATGCAGTGGGACAGACTGCACGCCCTTGGGCCAGCTGCTTCCCCTGGACCCTGTAAGATGCCAACACCTCTGTCCCCACCTCACACAACTGTTCTGGGCACCTGGCAAGCGTATGCCTGTCTGTGTGGTGCTCGGCAAAGGCCCTGCAAGGCACTGCTGGAGGGGACAGGGACAAGCTGGACAGAGGTCCTGCCTCGGGCATTCATGGCCAGCAGAGGAGGTAGGCAAGTGAAACAGCCCTGAACCTCCAAGTGCACAAAACAAGAGTCACGGAGCAGCCCGGCTCACAGCAGGGGACACAAGGAGGGCAGCGGGGGCACCACACACGGAGCCACACTAGCCATTCCAAAGTGCCCACCGGGGCGCAGAAGTAGAGCAATGTCTGCCAGGGGATGGAAACCATGGTGGTGACAAGCGGGCTCTTCACAATTATAACTGCATCGAGAACCCCAAGGGTGATCAGAAAGTCCCTTAACTAAATGAGAATATACAGTGCGCCAAAACTTGGGGGAAGCAACTAACACAGTCGTTTGGAAGCAAAATCATGGCTTTAAAAGGATTCTACTAAAAAAGACAGAAAAAGGTTTCAAATGAAGGCCTTGCATTTCCTCAAGAAACTAGAAAAAAGCAAATTAAAGCTGAAGTTAGAAGAAAATTAAAAATAAAAATAGAAAGTCAGCAAGAGACAATAATCAGGCCAGCCTTCTTTGACAACCTAACTAGAATAAACAATAAAAAAGACCGTAAGCACACCCACTGCCACAAATAAAAAACGGACAGTAGTGCAGGTCCTAGTCTTTTGGTTTAATACAGGAACGAAACCAACAACCTCATGGCAATAAATCTGACAATTTAAATGAAATAGACAAATTCTTCCAAAGTTGCAAATTACCAAAACTAGCACCAAAAAATATAAGAAGTTTGAGAAGCCCTTTATCAGTTAAAGAAGCTAAATTCATAATTAAAAACTTTTCCACAAAGAAAACTGCAGATCCAACTGGTGAGTTCTACCTAATATTTAAGAAACTGTATAAACTTTTATGAACTTTCAGAAAATAAAGAAGACAACAAGTAACTCACTTTACAAGGCTGACGCGACCCTGATACCAAAACCTGACAAAAACGTATCAGGAAAAGAAAATTACAGATAAACATCCCCCATGAACACAGACAGAAAAACCCTTTAGAAAATATCAGCAAATACCCAGGCCCTCGGGATTTAGCCGAGGAATGCAAGATTGGTTTAAAACCTCTACACAGGGACACCTGGGGGGCTCAGTCAGTTAAGCGTCTGCCTTCCACTCAGGTCATGATCCCAGGGTCCTGGGATCGAGCCCCGCATCGGGCTCCCTGATCAGTGGGGAGTCTGCTTCTCCCTCTCCTACTCCCCCTGCTTCTGTTCCTGCTCTCGCTGTGTCTCTGTCAAATAAATAAATAAAATCTTAAAAAAACAAAAACAAAAACAAAACCAACCAACCACACTGAAAAGCCACCCGATCAGAAGACTGGATGAGACGTGGCTGGCAGAAGCGAAAGCCTCTGGGGAGGGCAGGCCGTCTTGCACAATCTGCCAAAATCACCAACACACAACGTGGACACAGCGGCCCCTCTGTTCTAAGAGCCACAACTGCAGACATGCTCCCACACACAGGATGACCGAGGCCCACGGACAGCCATTACTCAGAATGGTTTCCAACGATGGCTGACGACCTAAATCTATGCCCACCGACCTGGTCTGGTGAAGATGCACTCCGGAGCAGCTTACAAAGGAATACTACGCAACCCTGACACAGAGAGCGAAGGACCCAGAAGCTCTTCACGCTCTGATAAGGACGATAAGGAGTAACCTCTGAGATGTTCTTGCCAGGTAAAAGCAGCTGGTGCGGGCGGGTGTGCATCACACCCGGACTCGTGTCACCGACAGAGGGAAGGGTCTGCATAAGTGCAGGTCTGCTCATCTGCACAAGAGACATCTCTGGGTTGGGAGCCCCCTGAGAATCGGCCATAGTCACTGCCTCAGAGTGACTGGGAGAGGCTAGAAGCCAGCTTTCTTTGTACTGCCAACCCTTCCAACAGTGGTGTGCATGCTGTTCCTATGAAGGGCTGGAGCATAAATAGTTTTGGTTTTAGTAAGACACATGGTCTCTGCCTCAACGTCTCCACTCTGCCTTGTACCACGAAAGCCACCAGGGAGAGTAAACAGACAAATGGGTGTCGCTGTGTGTCAATACAGCTTGATTTAGGAAAAAAGGCTGCCAATGAAATTGGCCCCTGGCCCTAGTCGGCCAACCGCTGCTCCAGAACCTTCTGAATTCCAAACCACAACAGCAGGTAACCTATTTAAAAAGCAAACATAGGGGCCTGGGTGGCTCAGTCGTTGGACGTCGGCCTTCGGCTCAGGTCACGATCCCAGGGTCCTCGGATCGAGTCCCACATCGGGCTCCCTGCTCAGCGGCGGAGTCTGCTTCTCCCCCTCCCCCTGCTCATGCTATCTCTCTCGCTCACGCTCTCTCTTTCAAATAAATAAATACAAATCTTTTAAAAAATAAAAATAAAAAAAAAAAGTAAAAAGCAAACACAATTCGGATTTGAAACCAGCTCAGACTCAGAAGCCAGACCACCAGGTTCATAACCCAGCTCTGCCTGGGGCACACATCCCTACCCCCACCCCAGGCTGGGTGCCTTCCATCCCCGGGACCCAGTTCTCGGGGCGCAGAGCTGGGCATGAGGCTGGAGCTCAGCAAGAGGCAGCTGCTGTAACCACCAAGCTGCCGCCACCAATTCACGCTTGTTTGCAGAGTCCCTGTGCGGTCCTGGTTGGCACCCTTGAGGAAGGCCGTTGAATTGGGGGGGGGGGCCCACAGGCCACCTGTAGACATGCCCAGACCTGCCCTAAGAGCCAAAGGGCAATTATTTCCAATGGGGCAGGGCGGGGGGGTGGGGTCTCACCATACCCAAGCTGGGCTGCGGGTGACTGAGCGAGAAACCGATCCCACCTGCTGGCCAGGGAGCTCCGTCCCCAGAAACCAGGCAGGCAGGTGAGCGGTATCATGGGAGGCCAAGAGTCTGGGGGCCCTTCCGGGGCTCCCCCTCCTAGACGACGCCACCGTGGGGACAGCGTTCGCATTTTCTGCTGTGCCATGGGCCCCGGGTGGCTGACTTCCCTCAGGAAGCCAAGTGGCCAGTGGGAGGTGAGCCGCCCCCTTGGCCAGAACACAGCATACCCTACACTATAGGAGGGGGGTGGGGGTCCCCCAAACCCAAGCCTCCATCGTCCACTGCCAATGGCAGCTCCCCCTTTTTGGCTGTTCAGGGTTGGGCTATGGGCAGCATCCACGACTCTCGGCACCCCCTGACCCCCCAGCATCAATTCCCAGTTGGCTCCAATTTCAAAACACACTAGCGAGGTCCCTCTCCCCCCACCCTTACCCCTCCGATCAGTACACTGACCCCTCAATGGCCCCCTGGCTCCCCCGAGTTCACCGCCTGCCCCTCGAGGGATGCTGTCCCCACCCCTAGTGGCCTTGATTCCCAGGCCACCTGCTCGTGTTCCCCAAGTGCCAAGAACATCCTGCCTTGAGGCCTTTGCACTCAACATCCCCTCGTCCAGAACGTTCCTCCCCCAGCTACTTAGATGGCCCTGATGTCTCTGAAGTCTGCCCAAACTCCACCAGAACGACAGACTTCCCTGAGCGCTTTTATTTAAAAACTGCAAGCCCCCTCACAGCCCCCTGCAATCCTGGTACTGCCTGTATCTCCTTGCCCACTCGGTTTTTCTTTAAAACTTTTACCTCCTAAGAATCAACACGATATCCCAGGGTCTTTGGCTCGACATGAACACTGAACCAACCCCAAAGTACCTCTGCCGTGTCACACAGGCTGCCACAAAGCCACGGGGGCCCCGCGTGGGCTAGGACGAGGTATCCACCCCAGGCTTCAGAGCCCCCCCAGGGACTAAACGTGGGGGAATCCCATGCTCCCAGGCCTTCTGGGAGGACTGGGAACCAGCCTCCGGTTCAATCCAAGACACTAACAAAGGAGCCCAGCGTGACCATCTCTACCCTGGCTGCCAGGCCACCATGCAAACCACCACCGGCAGAGAACACGATACGGGGGGCATGGGGGGAGGGTAAAACAGTAATTAGGACATAGCCACCGTTCTGGAGGATCACACATGCAAAAAAAAAAAAAAGAGGGTGGCAAGAACAAGCCCAAACCTCCAACAGGTGCCTAATCCTATTTTCTACAACACACACACAATTTTACAAAAGTTTAAATAAGAAGCAAAGAAACCGG